ATATTGACTGATCGATATGTGAGAGACAAATGCTGAAAGAAATAAAAGTTAAGTTGAATAATATTACGCTTGTAGCAGTATTTAGTACTGAATACAATTGAATGAAGGAAACTAAGTGGTACATTCACTTGCGGTACACCTCATTCGGGATATCTGAGTAAGTTTACTATTTTGATTTAAGATTTAAGAAAGTACTTTAACTCGTTGTGAATACAGACATATCAGAAGATACATTGATTTCAAATATTTGTGGATATGTATGTAGAAGATTTTGGTCAGATGAGAACCTAGCTTCCTAATTGTCAACCGTTTAATTTGACCGTTTGATATCTTGTAGATGTTTTCACATAAGTCAATTTATTGCTGTAAATTAAACATGAAATTACTATTACATATTTTAGATTAAAGAAGAATTCATCAAAAATTAAGAATGAATCAAAAATCAATTGGTTAGATTGCACCTGCGTTAGGTGAAGATCTTAGAATTGGGTTATAACATAATGGTCGAGCTCATATTATTATTCATATTAATTGTCTTTTTAAATGATTTAAATATCAGTTTAAAGAAAAATTGTTTATATTTGATCATGAAACATGTGACTTCTCGGACTTAGCCTATTCATTCTTCAATATCAAACTTTATAAAAAAGGAGAAAAATAAATTTTGCATTACAGAGCAGATAATCAACGCAACATAGGCTTATTTTAAAGGCTTTGACAAATCATCTATCAAATCTTGAAGGAGTGGGAACATCATTTGATGAAAAAGTATGAAACTGAAAAGGATTTCTGTTGAGAATTAAAAATTAATCCATCGAAAAAAATGGATAAAAAGTTAATAAATTTTTTATTTTCTCTTGTAATTTTATTCTTAAGATTTTAATGTATTTAAGTTTGTGATGTAAATTGTTTAACTATTTAGAGTAGTTGTTATATAGTTCACTTTTTTAATTATTTAATTTAATTTAAATTATTAATTTTAATTATAACTTAATTGATAGAAAGGCTAATATGAATAAAAAATAAAAGCTTAGAGATTGGTTATAGATTTTTAGTAAGTTAGTTGTAGTTTTAGTTAGTTATAGTTCACTATATAATATTAAAAACAAAAATAAAACGTTTTCTGTAATAATTAATTATTTGCTTATGAATTTATAGTGTAACTTGATTTAATTCAGTCCATAATTTAATCAACTAATCAAAGTTGATTATAATTCAAAAATTACTAAATCAAATTAAAGTTCTAAAGTGATTTATTTATTGATGATATCCAAAAATAAAAACAAAAATTATAACATATTTTTTAAATAATTTCTTTAGTAAATGACAGTTTTAAATGAAAAACTAAAATGCTTACATATGTATATTATAATAAGTATTGTATGCTAACAATGCAGAAGTGAAATATTAAAAATAAATAAATGTAATAATAATTTATTATCAAAAACATTTGAGGTTCACAAAAGAGTTTTGTTGATGTTATTGCCTGTAGAAGTTACCGTAACAAAACGAAAACAATTACATCAATAACAATAACAATAACAATAACTATTCCTAAAACAACATAACTTGCACCTTCGAGTTGAACGGTACAAATATCTTTTCATGGTAGAACGCACCCATGAACAAATATATTTTTAGTGAAATAATTCAAGAGAGCTTTAAAGGCAAACCGGAGCACCACAAATATATATAATAACAGAAAATTGTATATATACCCCACCGGCAGCCAATAGAGTCAGTGCAGTCAGTGCAGTTAGTGCAGCCAGGGCAGGCCGTGCAATCATTGCACCCACTAGTACCGCCGACATGTCCATAAGTAAGGAGCAGCCAGAAAGCAGCAAATGCAATGCTACGTGAAGCAAACGAAACAATACTTAAAAATAGTTGCAATAAAAGGGAAGGAAAATAGAGTGGAACTATTGAAGGCAATAAAACTTCATTGATCCACGGATACTTACAGTTGTATATGAGTACGTTCCATTAGAAAGATTTAAGCTCCTTTCTCTGGGAGCATAAATTTATGTTTTAATATATTAAATCATTTAAGAAGTAAATGTAAAATTTCAAACATGCAATGATTGAAGTTGTGGTTTGAATTACTCAAAGCTGATGTTTTGAATGGAAAGGAGAATGGAGACTACCATAAAGTTTATTATAATAAATATTTTTCAATTGGCAACTATAAATTTCTAAGTACTCACTTTATAAATTATTTTATTTATTTATATTATATTATAAATATAATAGATAAAAATATTGTGCGACATAAATGAAGAGTTTCGCTCATTTTGAAGACTGAAGAAAGATCTTTTCTCATTTTTTTAAAGGTTTTAGTTGAATTGAAAAACTACTGAGCTCAGCTTTACAACTCAACTTTTTACGAACACCTTAGACTTTGGCAACAACGAATTAAAGTCAAAAAATTGTAATAAATAAAAAATTAATTATTTTAAGCGATACGAGTTACGAGAACACTCCCAAATTTCCATCCATTCTTCTCAAAAAGAGAAATTTTTCAAATATATTTTTATGTCATCTTATAGGAAAAAAAGCAGTTTAGTACTATAAATCCCTGTCAGCAAGTAGTGAAAATTCAAATATAGAGCTCCTAAAAGAATTACTGCCAAAAAATTGTAATAAATAAAAAATTAATTATTTTAAGAGATACGAGTTACGAGAACACTCCCAAATTTCCATTCATTCTTCTCAAAAAGAGAAATTTTTCAAATATATTTTTATATCATCTTATAGGAAAAAAAGCAGTTTAGTACTAAATCCCTG